TAAATTGGAACTTTGAGCAATACTTTGCCTTGGACTCTGATTTAATTTTGGATGCTATTTGGAACCCTGACAATGGGCTACCTAGGTGTTACCTCTAGGAGCTCTGCACGGTGTCTCACTCCAATATTTGGCCCTCACCCCATCCCCTGCTCTGAAGGCAGCCACAGCTTTGAAAGCTGTGGACTCTCAATCTTGAGTTTTAATTTATGGACTGGGATAAATTTGCGGTAAAAATGCATATTTGGGGACAAGTAGAAGTCCTTGGAACAAGGCAAGTGCGCACAGAACTAGGGGTTGATATAGTTCAGTGATAGCTAACCTTTCTGCATGACGAAAGCGCTTCCCCATAATGCAATGCATGTGTGACATCCACCCACCCCCATCCCTCACCCACACACATGCGTGTGTGACTCCCCCTGTGCTCCCCGTGCATTCACCTCAGGCCTCCTCACCCATTTTTGGTGCAGGAGGCTTTCCAGGCCCAAAACAGGGCATGGGAGTGCTGCAAAAACCCCCAAAATGCAATGTGAGCACACACATTCGTTGCATTGCATCCCCTGTGCATGCACACTTGCATCCCCCGCATGTGCTCCGCGCATGTGCAGCAGAGACCAGCTGGCTAGCGGGAGGCGTGCATGGTGGAGCTGGGCTGGGGTGATGGCTGGCGTGCCCACAAATAGGCACACGTGCATAGATTCGTCGTCACAGATATAGTCTGTACAAGCTGTATAGAAATCAAATCCTTTAGATCAGGAATGTCCAAACTTGGCAACTTCAAGGACTGTGGACTTTAACTCCCTGAGTTCCCCAGCCAGCTAAGCGGGCTGGGGAATTCTGGGAATTGAAGTCCACAAGTCTTGAAGTTGTTGGACATCCCTGTCTTAGATGATGGTTGCCAAAGGTGGATTTGCCCAACCTTTTCTCCTTTGGACATATCTATCTCCAACTTGGCATTTGAACCCTGACGTGACCCAACAAATGTGTGCACGACAAAAGCGCGCCAACAAAACCATGGCGAAAAAACAGTGAGGTCAAAATTGCGCCGACAATAGCGCGATTAGGGTTAAGGTAAGGGTTAGAGTTAGGGTTGGGGTTGGGGTTAGGGTCATTACCTTGTTTTCGCGTTGTTTGTTGATGGCGCGCTGTTGTCACCGCATTGTGGGCGCGATTTTGACCTCACTGTTTTCACCGTGGTTTTGTCGGCGCGGATTTCTCGTGCGCGCATTTGTCGGCGAACCAAACCCTGAACCCATATTAATATCTGCGCTCTTCACCCCTAAAGAATTGCGAGGGCTGATCTTGTCAACGTTTCTATTCTTCAGATAGCAACTTGTACTGCCCGCAACGGCTACCCGGCTCCAAGCATCATATGGTACAAGAACAGGGAAGTCCTGCACCCCAAAGACAAAGGTATGTCCTCCTGTTGACGTTCTCCAAAGGTCATCTCAGACACGGAGCCGGAAAAGGACTCACAAGGTCATCCAGGAAAAGGAAGGGCCCTTTTCTAAGGTTGGCATGTTGTGATCCAGGAAAAACCTCACTACATTCTACTATTTCCTGTCCTGTGGGTGAGAACGATGCCATCTGCTTCTGGGTCCAGGGGGGCTTGGAGACCCAACAGAAAACGTTTAGTTCTTTGGGGTAGCCTGTGAGGATGATGGCTTTGGGGTGGGGGGCATCTTAGCTGGAAAGCAAAGAGGTGAAGGATGAAGCAACAAGCGGAAAGGAGAGCTCCACATTTGGTGGGTCCAAGAGAAGAAGAGATGGAAAGTTTTTGACTTGGAGCAGGAAATACCAGTGTTTGGACCTTCAGACTCGGCCCTATGGGAATGATGGCTTAATGGTAGGCAAGAATTTCGAATATAACCGCTTTGGCTAAAACGGAGGCGTCTAATCTTGGCAACTTTTGAAGACTTGTAGACTTCAATTCCCAGAATTCCCCAACCTGCATGGGGAATGGGGGATTCTGGGAGTTGAAGTCCACGAAGCTGAACGT